TAACAAATAGGCGAAGTCAAAATTCTCTCCCTCGCTTGACCTTATGAGTGTTGTAATAATTTTTTGCGGAAATCAAAATTATATAAGGGTTTAGAAATAGTATTATGTACAGTGTATACATACAGGGTGATTCAGTCATTAACTTTAAGGGAAGATAGGGAAAAATGAGTAGAATACGAATACGAGTTCATAAAAATTTTAAAATGCATACTTACACTGAAAAAAAAATTCAAATCATTATTTAAACCCCTTTCGGATCGCTCCTGACAGCTGAACCACAAAGGTTTATCGAGAGTAAATCTTGACCTACCGTATTATTCGGTCACTAACCTAGCTTTTATTGGATTTTTAATCCATAGTGAAAGATAAGCAAAAAACAGATTTTTTTACCTGGGGAAATCAGCTGTTTCGTTTCAACGTTCGTTCGAAGAAATTTATAACTGAATCTATAATTAAATATTATCTAGACATCATTTTATGAGATCTTTTAAGAAAAAAAAATATATTTTTTATCTGGATCTGTATTAGTTTAAAGTAAAACACACTAATATCACCGATTCGTATCACTGACGATCTGAGAGAAGAAATATTTATTTATGAATTAAATATTGATGAACAGATTATTAAACTATTTTTATTTTTCTTGTTAATATATCAGTTCATAAATATTTACATAAATAATTTCCATTAAATACAGATAATTCTCAGTTAAAGTCATTTGCTTTCTTCACACCATATAATAATTTCTGTTTGTATACACATGTGCTGTCATTGCTGGTTCTAATGATAATTTAAAAACAGACCCCTTAAAACATAAACTGAAGCACACTTTTTCACTATGTGCTGATAAATATCAGCATTAGAAAATTAGAATGATTTAAGTTTAAAAGGCTGTTTTAGACAAATACTTATCAGTAGCAATCAACATAATAAATAAAGGTTATTTAAGTATTAAATTCTATAAAAAATTATAAAGTTTCTAGATAAGGTATTTCTATTTTAAGATAAGATATACAACTTCTGATTCATCTAATGATAACTGATAAGATTCTCAGTCAAATATTTTGTGACACAATTTTTCTTTCTGATAAAATAAAACTACAAATAGTCAAATGAACTGTTACAAAGTCAGAATTATAAACATCATTAAGGATTGTACAGAAATATGTGCTTTTTAATTTCTAACAAAAACAAACTTGAACTTTTAGAATTTATAGGTACTGCTGAGGTTTAAATGTTAAAACTATTGTAATATGTACTTGGTGTTGTTCCACTGACCTCTATATTATATTTTTTGTAGATAAAAAGCCCATGGCCACCAAAACGAAATAAAAGTAAAATTGATAGGGATTTCAAAGAAACCGACAGGTAATCTCATAAACTATCACTTGCACAAAAGCAGGTGGCAAGAATAAAAAAATTAACTACCTGTTCTTCAAACTATAACACATATTTTGGCACAGACTCATACGCTCGGTATGCTTTTGTTGTTAGCAACGGCGTCTATAAGACGTGACATTTTTTGTATTTTACCTGTGGTTGCGGTCTAAAAATAGAACCCTAACCTCTATCTATAATTCATAAGCGTGTGTGTCCCAGAGAGGGAATATTTCAGAAATATGTAGTCTACAGAACAACAATGAATCGGGAAGTAAAGAGTTCATGATAGTTTGCCAAATCTACTTTCATTTTACTAGGAAAAAAATATAGAGATAATTCTCCAGAATTACACGCAAAAAAAGAAATTCTTAAATCAAGAATGGTATATTTAGATATATTTTCGCAAAGAATTATATTCTTGATGCTAATATACCACAATCTTAAACTAAGTAAGAAATTTTATTTAAATTAATATTGTGGTTTATTAACATCAAGAATATATGTACATTTCTTTGCGTATATATAAATATACCATTCTTGATTTAAAAATTTCTTTTTTTGCGTGTACAGTATGTAATGAAACGAAATTACTAAAAAAAGTATCTTTATTGAAACCCATATTGTTTTTAGGGGACGATTTCTAGGCCTACATAGAGAACTTTCGTGATGAAAAGTTAAAGGGGTGACCGATCTTGAGACCTCAAAAAGAGTTGCACATACATTTGTGATTTTCATTTAATAATCAGCCAAATAAATACAAACTGTTACTTTATTTTTCGCAGAATTTTCATTTTTCTTAAATTTCAACATTATGTTAATATCAATTAAAACTTAAATAGGTACATCAAGAAAAAATTAGCGAAAAATAAAAAACATCTGATTGCATCTATTAGTTGATTATATAAAAAAATATATGTGCAATCCTATTCGAAATATGAGGGTTGGTCAGCCTTATTATACAAAATTTCTATTTGGCAAACAAACGAAATTTTGTTATCGTTGATGTTGTAAAATAACCAATTTAATTTTCGCAAACGGCGGCGGCGTACCTTAAAAAATCCCAGTATTTAATTCAGTCTCCGTGAAAGATTTCTTTATAAAAAAAGATTTTGAAAATATTTGACGAGAATGAAGAGGACGAAAGGGGGTTATTGTTATTTCAGTTAGTATCGAATCAGGTTTGAGGTCAGAACAAAAACGTCTATCCTATCTTCCATGCAAATCTGAAGAAACGGCAAAATTACGTTTTTGCAGAAAGCAGAAATACATTGTCTGGGTTCCTCAACCCCAACCGGTTTTATATCTGGCTTTCCGGTCATAAACAAGTCAGTCAACCACAATTAATATCGAATGCAATCCTAAGAATACCCATAAAATGCATTAGCTGGTTATTATAGCATCATATATCGATAGCAATTTATAAACGTCTCGTTTTACCGCCTGTAAATAGCTTTCGTTTGGGATACCAGGTAAAACACTATTAGGTTTTGACTTTGTTTCAGTTTGCTCGTAAAGGAATTGATTTTACTTATAGAAGAACCAAGTCAAGATATTGGATAATTGTATGAATTCAGTTTTTTCGGAGTAATATCTTCAACCCCTTGGAGATGTGCTTGTCGAGTCGATAGATAACAGGTTGGCCACAAGCTAATGCTATACGTTTCTTTTGCAGTAAATAAAGTGGCATTTCATAAAACATCTCAGTTTTTTCAAAGTTTCTACCAATAGAAAGATACGGCAAAATATAATATACCATTTGTTCTAAATGACTTCTATGCTTTATGTAAAAAATAACCTTATGTTTTCCTTCAGCTCCCTCAAAAACCAAAGATTGAAACATCTCAAAACCTGCTAAAGTCAGCTTTTAAGCAAACAACGTTATACAAAGGTAGCTGATCTAAATTTATGTTATGTTCACCGAAAGAAACTATCCTTAAAGCATGGCCCATTCGCTTTTGAATATTTTGTAAGCAAACTTTTATAGAACTCTCATTAAAAAAGTTCCGGTATTATTAATAATTGCTTTAATTTTGTATTCCAAAACACAGGATGGGATTGAATTTACGAAATCAACAATATTGAGGAACAGTTTTGAATATTAGGCATATAAATTCATAATCCAAACGGAACTTATTGAAATAAAGAACTCTGATTAATATTTCAGAGTAGTCTTTCTTTCATTTTTCATGTTTATCCAATTGAACAGTTCTGATCTAGTGTAACTATCAAGTTTTCTATACAAATAGAACTTTTATGTAAGGATTAGATAAAAGGATACCGTTCTTGAGACCTAGAATCTTTAAAGATTAATCTAGCTTTATTTTTGTATAAAGCTTCCGATTTTTACGGAGTTGTGACTTTAACTGGTTCAATTAATCAAATATGCTTCAGTACGTCAAGATAAACTGCAGTTTTTTCACCTCTCTTTTATGCGATCAAAACAAATTTCATTTAGATATTACCGGAAATTATTTATTTTCAACAGTTTTTGTTATACCATTGGTTCTACCTCTATTTTGCCACCTGTGAAAAATTAAAAAAATAAATAAAATCTTCCGCAAAAAGAATCAGTCAACGGTTATTTTTATTAAAATTTTATTATTTTCGCCCAACGAAAAATCTTTCACGGAAAAGCAGGCAAATACAAACTTTGACTATAGTTGTTTCAAAAAATGTATCTTTTTTTGTTATCAAAACGTAATAACGTTTCATTTTCAATTAAGATATAGTTTAAATTTGTTTGTTTTTGCCTGCTTCAGTAGTTGAAATTGAAAAAAAAGTCAGTATAAGTTTTGGTATCAAAAAAGACCCATTTTTCGAAACGTTAGCTATAATAAGTGTGTAATAAATATGTATTTTTATTTATCTGCTTTATGAAGTGAGATCAACATTTTTTCATAGGTTGCAAAATACCCAAAAAATAATCAATTAATTATAAAATAAACAAATACGTATATATTTACTTCTTGAACAAAAATGCAACTTTGGTCTACCTTGTGCTTTGCAGATGACCGCCAATGCTTCAGTATCCTGACACACAGTTATAACACACAGGAAGTCTAGCTGTGTCATCGTGGCTGCATTTTGTGATGATCTTAATCCAAAGCAATCATATTGCTGTTACTTACTCAAATTACTTTGAAAGTTTGTAACATTATTTAATAATTTTTCGTTGGTAATATTTAGATAAATTATTCTTTTATCATACATTTGGTCTCAAGGAGACACATGATTTAATGAGAATTGTAGAATTTTTTATTTATAATTTATTGCATTAGCTGAATTCTTCTGAAGTTAGTTAATGAGATTTTGAAAAAAATATAAAATCTTATGTGAAAAATAGAACTCGACATAATAAAATAGTTCTCCAGGCATTACAGTATTTAAATATCTGTCTACCTCCAAATTATGTGTAAAGCTTCTAATGTTTATGGGATTATCATACCAATTGATGAAACTCATCAAATGCAATATACGTCAAGATAACGCAGTGCAGTTTTAATTCTTCATTCCCCGGTATGGACTAAGATATAAACTCATCTCTAGATGCCTGAGTTTCCTGAATCAGTTTGAAGAATCCTATCCCTACTACTCTACTAAGACTGAATAAAACTGTATCTTTAGACTACCTTTTGGGCTTTGCACATGACCGCCAGCGCCTGGACATCATGAGAGGTGTGCCTGGAGTCCATCAAACAAACCGCACAAACACCCATCTTACACACTAGACAGTACATACTAAGCGTCTCTTCCACGTGTTCCGGGCATTTGCCTTCCTTCCCTTTAGGAGCACTCCCGGAACATCTCTTGGGCTCGACCAAGACGTGCTTGGCCAAGGGCCCCCGACTGGGATGACAGGACTCCCTACAGGTGTCGCAATAGAGGACCTCGCATTGCTCGCACATCACCGTGGCATCCTTCGCGGGCTCAACCTCACACATCTGACATTTGAGGATGAGATTTCTGAGTTCCCCGTATTTGTCGACGATGCTCTGCATCACTCTGTACTTGGGGAGGTTGTGGGCGCCGTTCTCGTCGAAGTACACCAGTTTGTGGCACACGGGACAGGCCAGGCTCAGGGCGCTGGGGAACAGCACCCCGTTGGGGGTGCCCACGTAGCTGTTGGGCCTGGAGGTGCAGACCACGCCGCTGTCGGTCTCGCTCAGGATCGAGAGTTTATCGCTCTCCTGGTAGTCGCCGGAACTCCCGGAAGCGACGCTCTCAGCGTTCTCGGCGCTCACGGCGGCGGCGGGGGCATTTTGGTGGGCGGGCTGCTGGAGTTGGACGGCGCAGTGCAGACACAGAGCGTGGTAGCACGGGAGCAGCACCGGGTTGTTGTAGAACTGCTTACAGGCGGGACAGCAGAGCTCTTCTTCCATCGTAGCACGCGGCGATCGGGACTCGACTGGCTGCCGCTGCGATTTTGTTTGAAAACACGCGAACGAGGAGGGCGACGCCGAGCGGAGAGTCGCGACGGCTGGCGAAGTGGGTGAGTGCACGAGGTAGGTCCGCGGCTCGACCGGGTTTGGTGGTTGCTGGGGTTGAATTTTGAATTCGATGTCGAACTGGCTATGTTTCTCGTTGAATTCCGCGATGCGCTTTTCTCTAGGATACAGACAATATAAAAATTAAAAAAAATAACATATTCGAAAATATTCCAGAATTAGGTGTAAGACAGACCAGCGGGACTAACGGCTAACTGCGTCAACTGCTTTGCAGTTGATTTGCAAATGATGTAAATATGCATTTTCAGAAATATCACAATGATTTAATATTTTATCTGCCATTAAGAAATAAACTGATTTTTATTTTGTATGGAAATACAGTAAAATCTTTACATTTTTGCTCGACAACCTTTCCCAAATAGAACAAACTTATTCTAAAGATATTCTCAGGGTATCTGGTGGGACAGACCCAGGGCCGGATTAATTTATGGTGAGGCTCGGGGCTACAAGCTCTAAGGAGGCCCTTTTTCTAAAAAAAACATAAAATATCAAAACTTGAACACGTTTTGGTTTGATTCTAAAAAAAGGTCTCAAACTCTTAGGAATTTTCTTCCATTTTTATGAGTACTATTAACCCCCCTTTCAATCCACCCGAAAGTTTTTAACACTACTTCAATACCCTGTATATTTTAAAATATATTAAATAACGTACCTAATTATAGTTTAGCTTATATTTCTTTCGAATTTTTCAAAATGAAGGGGAACAATATCGTACTATATTGACAGACTTAAAATTAGGAATTTAAAAATGTAGTTTTAAGTTGACGAACAAAATGTCCTATAAAATATGATCAGAAATATTGTACATAAATGATTCTATCTTTAGAACACAAAAATAATACACATAAAACCAATTCATTTCCAACATTTAATGTGTGTCCCGTTTTTCAGGTTAACACCTCTGGAAATGTGAGAAGGCTGTCGACTTTGCACAAGCCAATTTTTTTACAAATAGTATCCTGAAGGGAGGTTATATTCTACTAATCATTTTATTGATGTAACAAAAGCCTGGCCTAATACGATTTTTTAAAAGGGTCGTTTTTCCAGAAGCTGGTATTAGGCATTTTTTTTATCAAAAAGATAACATTACCAGGCTATTCAACACTTATCAAAATTTGAACGACAAATGTCTATTGACTGTTTTTTTATGTGGTGCCAAACTTTGAAAAATCAGACAGCTAAAAATTATAATAAGCAGGTCAAAGATTGCCATGAAAGTGAAAACATGTACCAATCGGACAAAGAAAAAATATAGACACTATAAATTTAACACTTTTAATTGTGGCCATAGTAAAAATAATAATTAACGTACAAAAAATGTAGGTAATGAATTATAAATATTAAGTTGTTAAAGAAAAATTGCAAAACAATCTAAATTAAATTTTAGTTTTCTCGAATCTTTGACCAGCTTATTTATAATTTTTAATTAATTAATAAAAAAACAGTCAATAGACATTTGTCGTTCAAATTTGCTATATGGGTATAATGGGTGTTGAATAGTCTGGTAATATTATCTTTTTGATAAAAAAATGCGTAATACCCCTTTTTGGAAAACGACTCTTTTAAAAAATCGTAGTACGTCAGGCTTTTGTGACATCAATAAAATGATTAGTAGACTATAACCTCCTTTCAGGGTACCATTTGTAAAAAAATTGGCTTGCGGAAAGTCCACAGCCTTCTTACATTTCCAGAGGTGTTAACCTGAAAAACAGGACACACTGTATACTGGATGTTTCTAGATGCTCTTAATTCCTCAAATGAGCCAAATGTCAAATCTGATCAGATGTATCAAATCAACGATCTCCTTAACTACCACATCGACAGCCGGTGCGATATTCGCATCCCAGCTGCCGGTCTATCAGTTTTGTGCAGTTATTGTGCAGGGGGTTGAGGTCGTTGGCGTTTTTTTCGGTCGATTTTTAAATGCGGCTTGTGGCCGATTAACATTTTTACGACTGGCTGTTCCTGTTTCAGGACTGACCGCGATTGTGGTTACTTACATACCTCGTGTTTACATAAAACTCAAATGAGACTGGTTCGAAAGAGGTTCATTTCGAGATAGGTAGTCTGAATTCCCGTGTTACATTTTTGTAAAGTCGCTTAAGAGGAACTGGAAAATTAATAGCGCATATCTACCGTATTCCTAGTAGCTTATTTCCTATAAAAAAAATTTAAAACATACCTATTTTTATTCCAATATGTCTCCTTAAAACAGGGGAAAAAAGTACTAAGATTTTGCATAGCATTGAGTAGTGGATAAACAAAAGTAATAAAGTACCAATAAAATGTACAATAATTTATAAACATAGTAATAAGCCCGAAAAATAAAAAAATGAACTTCAAAACGGCTTTATGGTCGCAATAAAAAAAATGATTTTCAACACTACAACCCTTTGTGGAGATATACACAATCCATAGAGGGACGTAATTCCAAAATCCCCATTATCCAAATCTGGCGCAAACCTCACTATGCAACCTGCGAAGTCAGCGTCAAGAGTTATCGAACGTCAGTCCTAGCCAGTACATGCGTTCAAAATACAAATACAAGTATCAAAATTCTCCTAAATAATTAAAACGAGCTCAACACGACCATAGCTCACGTTGCACATACCACCCTGTGTTGAAGATCCTGAGTGATACAAGTTTCTAAAGCTTCCATACACAAGCTCTAAAAGTATCATACACAAGCCGTCCAAGGAAGCAACATAAACTCAATCTCTAAAGTTTCAACACATCAGACAAGTTCAATCCCATACAAGCGATACATGTAAAGGGATAATGCAAATGATTCAACCAATAATATTCCGCAACACTACGCTAATGATCATCTACGATCTACTGTCAATTTTCTTCAATTTCAAGCTTAAATGAACTATGCACTGTACCAATGTATACGTATTTATGACACTAGAGTGTATTTATTATCTGTCATTGTTATTGTGTTATTATTTTTAAATGCAGATCAATATTCGCTAGGAGAAGGTTAGTCGATTTCAACAGCGATACGACGGCAAGACACGTGTAGGATAATACTTGACACACATAAATGTGTAGATCAAGCTTTTAGATAATTCACATTGTTATACCTGGTTGACGTTGACAGAAAAACATAACGTTTTCTTTGATATATGGGGGAGATTTGCGTTTATTTAAATGGAAATTTTCTGACCTCGGGACTTTCCAAGTCTACTGTGTGATTAGAAATATGTAGTGAAAGACACCTTGAAAATCTTGGAAGATGTACAACTGTTTTTCGTAAAAATTTAAGACAGGTTGGCCCTTGAAAATGAAAATTTTACTTAAAATTAACCAAATATTGGATCATGGCTTTTGGGTGATTCTCAATAATTTTAATTATTACAGTCTTGCTATGAAAAATATTTAATGTAAAGTTTACATTTTTTAAATTTAATATTTTTACTGTCTATTTTTGGTGTCTTAGATGATCCTGCATTGGAAGAAGGTGGAAAAAATAAGAGACATATTTTGAGACAAATGTGTTTTTAAAAAACATTCTATTATTTGCTTATTTTTTATTTTATTTTTAAGATATTCAAATGATACAAAAAAAAATCTAAAAAATCTTATCGAACGAAGTCGAACAATGTTTTTCGATACCAGAAATGTTGTAAAAAAGAACTAACCCTCAGACAAGATTCTAAACTGCTGATATTGAAGGAAACAATTACTCTTTGGGTTACATGCAACTAGCATTGAATCATTTATTCCTACTAGTAAACTGCTAGTAATAATTATTCAAAATGAAAACTACAAATAAATGATAGGTCTAAATATAATTAATACAAAAACACATGTCTGATATAGCTAAATAAAGCTTCACAAACAAAAGTTTTTTATTATTGACTGTTATACATAAATTTGATTTATTGAAATTGCTATATAATTTACACCATTTATATTTAAAATCAAAAGTATAACTTTATTCTTTATGTTTTATTTACTTTGGATATCAATTCAATAATGTGTAGTATCTTAATCGATTTGACAAACAGCAATTGTCTGTATTCTATAATATTTACTACTTTTATTGTCATGCCCTTTATAGTTACAGTTTCCTTTGTCTATAAACCATAAATAATATAATATTATGTTGCCATCTAGAAGGCAATAGAAGTAACATTACGATCTTCATAAAAAATATAGTTAGGTAACCAACATTAATACTGACAACTACTCTGTCTACTAGATCGCAGAGGACCATCATAATATGTGAAATATTTCATCTGCTATTTACAATATATTATGGAAGTTCTGTAGTTTGTCCAAACAACGATAAGATCGAAATCACAAAACATATAATACAATCGAAATCTTAATAATACCCAGTCTAGTATGCGAGGGCATCTAAAGTATTTTGTTTATATTACGGTCCCTGCCATCTAGGAGATATAGGTGCAACTAAGACCGGTTGAAGGCAGGGATAAAACTTCTGTACAATCAATGAAAACCATAAGCGGTACAATAGGGGATAGACATGGATTCAAATTAATTTTAAACATATAACACAAATTTGTTAATAAATATAACTATTATTTTCGTTGAATTAAGAAAGACACATATTCGTAAAAAAGGTAAAAATGTAGAGATAATCTAAATTTAACATAAAGTAAAAATATTATTTTCCCAATCGTGTCAGAAACAGATAAAATAAGGGTTTGACGGAGGATTTTCGTAAGAAGCAATTGAAAAAGTAAATTTAATTTTTATTTATATAGTGTCAACGTTGAAGCGTATGTGCTGGTACCGATATGTTGTCCATACCTTCATCATCTGCCCCTACAGACGCAACACCTTTGCGGATTTCCTAGATCACATCAAAGGCATACATCCCGATATCCAGTTTACCATGGAAGTAGATAAAAATGCCGCCCTTCCCTTCTTGGATGTTTTGGTTGAGAGGAAACCAGATAGCACTTTAGGACATCGAGTACATAGGAAGCCAACTTGCACAGACAGATATATGAATGCGGAGTCGCACCATCACCCAGCCCAGAAACAGGGGATCATAAATACCTTGATTCATCGAGCGCGGATCATCAGCGAGCCAAGACACTTGGCCAAGGAACTAGAACACCTACGCACAGCCCTGAGAGGCAATGGCTACACGGCGAGGAATATTGAACAAGCTATCAGGAGGAGACATACGCCCATAGAGAAACGGGAGTACTTATTAGCGGAGTAGCGAGGGAGTAGCGAGAGTAGCGGAGGGAGTAGCGACTACGTATCTACCTTACGTGAAAGGTTGTACAGATAAAATCGGACGTCTTTTGAAGAAGAGGAATATCAACACAGTATTCAGCACTGCAAAGAGGATGGCGGCAGCTTTTCCAAAGACCTGCAACAGCGACCATCTCCGGAGCCTCGGTGTGTACAATATTCCTTGCTCTTGCGGAAAGGTCTACATAGGACAAACAGGAAGGCACATCAACACGAGGCTAAAGGAGCACAAAAGTCAACTTGAAAATAACAACTGTAAAAAATCGGGAGTAGCAGAGTATAAGGCGGGCACGGGACACACATAGTGGATCTGAGTGAAGCCAACATGATAGTGAGAGAGAGAAGATTTTGGCTCCGACTATACAGAGGAGCAATAGAAATTTACAAAAATCCGAACGATTTCAACAGGGATGGTGGCGTGGATCTGCCAGCAACCCACTGGAACGTCAAAACGCGTACGAGGTCACCCACCGAACCTCATTGATCAGTGACCACATCAAATATAAATAGTGACAAGATTAGTAGATCTCCAGTTACTTCTGAAGAAGGTAGCTATATGTCTCTGGACTATGTCAATAGACTTCATTGGGGTAAAACTTTTAAAGATTAAAGAAATAATAATATTTTATAAAAACTCGCGGTTGTGGATGAAGTCTATTGTTATTATTTAAAAAAAGCATCCTACGCCACTGCGTCCCGACGGATTGCGCGCTGAAGCAGTGCGCCCAAGTCAATGTCAACGATGTTACATCACATTTGTTTTGTATAATTTAGATTAGATTAGGCGGACAATCCGGCGACTTGTACTGGTGAAAAGTTAATACAACAGTACAGTTCGGATGTCCTGTAAAATGTCGCGAGTGTTCAGAGAAATAATCAGAGCTCATAAGGCCGGAAGTGCTTTGAATGTGCGAGCGTTCTCCGTCAGCAGTGCTAACAACAGGTAAAATCCAGTGATTTTCGGTTGGCGATAGTGTTTGGTTTGAAATTAGGAAAAAGCGTTGTTAGGTCTAGGCTTCTGTTACTTATTGCAGAGGAGATAAGATATAAAAGTAATTTGGCAATGTATTTATGAGCAGAAGCCGTGACATATTAATTGAAATTAATGTATTCTGTACTGGTATTAAAACTGTCTAATATCAAGGTTATCTATCTGTTATGTGGCATTGAATCATAAAAAATTATAAATTGGTAACTCGAGATGATGTATAAAAATGTACAAGGTGGTCTTTGACACTTTCTTTACTGCAACATGCTCTCTCGTGCTTGAATATAATAATACTAGGCAGAAACGGAACTTGTAATTAGAAAATAAAATGAAATGAAAATCGCATAATAACATTTAAGTTTTTTCTTATTATTTTGACGTGTAAAATCCATTCCTGGAGTGTGGTGCGATTCTCCCTACTCACTCTGTGTACAATTATTTATTCATTTAACAATTTCAATATATATGTATGTTGTATGCCTACTTTTAGTTTTTATTTTGAATAATCTTTTTATTCTGTTTACTGGGTATTGGGATAAAATGCTTAAAATCGTTGACGTTGATATAAAATTATAAAAGGTATAGACAACTATCCAAAATATTCTATATTATGTACCTAAGCACCAAAACAAATTTCAGCTATTAATTAATAATTAATGATGTTGTAAACAACAACCATTCTTTGAATCAGTCTAATTCAATGTCGGACGGTGCTTTGGTCCACAGAGAATTAATAGTCAGCTTTGAAGTTGCTTTTTAGAATATCTAGCTTTTGATGTCAAAGTATAAATGATTTCATCGGATGAGAATTTTAGGAACATTTTTGGGCTTAGCTTGAATTAGATTATACCTAAAATAAAAGTGCAAGAGTGTATATTAAAAATGTTCTCTAAGAGAAAACTGAGTTAAATATAAGTAAAAATTTGATACAAAACAAAAAATAAAAAAAGTTGTTAAAGAAGATTTCCAGTTATAGTTGTATTAATAATTCTATGTAACATATTATCATTTCTTTTAATTTTGTTAATGATATTCTACGTGTAATACGTAAATTAACGACTGGAATTTCTGTTGCGGTTTTACTTTTTTAGTAACATTACAATTTAATTGCTTATCATTTATAAATATCGCAGAAGTATTCTTAGATTTAGTAAATTTGCATATTAACTTGACTAATATGAAGGAAAGTGATAAAAAAGAAGGCAAATAGGTACACAGAAAACATATTTCTTAAATCAAGACTAATCATCTATACAGGGTGTCCCAGAATATGTGGGCGATCTCTCGGATTTATACAGGGGACGTTAAAATAACATGACAAGTTCTTATAAAAATTTTTCCTAGAGGGCCTCCCCAACGGAGATACAGGCCCCTAAAGGACACCCCTTAATATCGATTTTTTTAATAACTTTAAAATTATGTCATTTAATAATTTTGTAATACGCTGGACAGCAGAGGATCCAACAATCTTCAATTCGCTGAGGTAGGGAATGCATTAGAAGGAGCTCATGTTTTTTCTCGAATATAGTTCATTTTATCGATATCAACCGAGAGTGTCTTTTTTAGTTTAAGGTTCAAACTGTCTAAAAAATGCTATTTTTGTGCCTTTATCGTAAAGGGTGTAAATTGACATTATTGTGCTACAGCTAGTCCGTCACTGGCAAACCAAATAGGCCAAATTGTCAATTTTTAATGAGTCTTATAAGTATAAAAAAGGAACTACATAAAGCATTTTAAAAGTTATTAAAAAATCGATTTTCAGGGGCGTACTTTAGGGGGCTTATATTTCCGTAGACCCCTCTAGGGAAAATTTTTATAGGAATTTGTCATGTTATTTTAACGTCCTATGTATAATAAATCTAAGAGATTGGTCACATATTCTGGGACACCCGGTATATAGGATGTTTGTAAATAAGTGCGAAATATTTTAGGGGGTCTGCCGAAGTTATATTGTGAAAAAAAGGTCATATAAATGTGGGTCGAAATATGCTTCGGTTTTGAGATATAGACTGTTTAAATTTTAGTTTTTTATTTATTTTTATTAGTTATTTCAGAGTTTTAAAAAATATTGACTCGAAATTTGATGGTTGTATTTTATTTAGAAATATTGACAACAACCTACAAGATAATGTATCAATAGAAATTAAAAATACACAACTTGCAATAAAATATGTTTTATTTTTTTTCTCAAAAAGGGCACCCTTTTTCCTACGAAAAAAATTGAAGAGACCAAGTTCTTCCAGAATTGATGGCGGATTTCCAAAAAAATATCAAAACGGGAAAAAGTCAGTGGCGACCATTTTCTTTTAATTAAAAATGTTTGTGACATTCAAGCACGAACGGCACTGGTGCATGTAGAAATATTCGGATAACTCCAAAAAATGTACATTTATTTCTCCAAAGTGTTTTTCAAATTTCGAGTCAATAGATATCTTTAAAACTCTGAAATAATTGATAAAAATAAATAAAAGGTTAAAATTGAAACACTGTATCTCGGAAACGAAGCATATTTCGACCTTTTATATTTAATATTTAGGTACCTATATATATATATATTTAAGAAATCTTTTTTCCGTGCACAATTATAAACAAAAGTATGGAAATTGTGAGGTAAATGTGAAAATTACGAACTCTATATATTAAAAACGTGCGTATGAATTTTATTGTAATATTTAACTATTATTATACTCTAACATAATTGCATGTTATTGGCTGTTTATTCGATAGAAATCTATTAATAATAACAATAAATCTAGCAAAGTAATATATCAAATTGGATACTGTTGCTCAATTAGTTGAGACTTTTTTTGGTATATTAAATTTAAATTTAATGGTAGAACGAAAGCCAAACACTATGATATTTAAGTTTTTTTCCAATTCGTAATATTCAGTTAATGCTTTCAGTGATGAGTTCGACATCGTCGTTGTCGGAGGCGGCATCGTGGGGGCTGCCACCGCCCGAGAGCTTAAGCAAAGATACCCCAATTACAAAATGGCTATTGTTGAAAAAGAAGCTGACCTGGCGAGGCATCAAAGTGGACATAATAGCGGCGTCTTACACGCTGGCATCTACTACAAGCCAGGTGTGAAAATCGTGTATTATTACAGTTGGACCATTTTCCAGGCCTGATTTTGATTAAAAACTGTGTTTATTTGTTAGTCTGAAACTTATACTAGTCAAAATATATGCCAACACTGCAAGGTTTATATTAAAACTGTTTCGGACTTCTTTAAAGTACAAATAACAAAATATGTTGCGTTCTAATTACATATTCTGATTTTCAGGTTCTCTCAAGGCAAAATTGTGTGTGGAAGGTCTTAACTTGGCATACAAATACTGTGACTCCAAGAAAATTCCGTACAAGAAGGTCGGCAAACTCATAGTTGCCTCCACCCCTGACGAAGTGGACAAGCTGCACGACTTGCACGAAAGAGGAAAGAAAAACAACGTGGCTGGTCTGGAACTTATAAAGGGAGAAAGATCAATCAAAGCAATAGAGCCGGTCTGTGAAGGACTGGAAGCCCTTTGGTCGCCCAATACTGGGATTGTGGACTGGGCTGTGGTTACAAAAAGCTACGGAGAAGACTTCAGGAAAGGTGGGGGTACCATTCATCTGAATTTCGAAGTAAGAAAAGTACCTCATCGCTTGTACTTAAATTTTAAATATGTCTGCCCTATTTTATTTTATTTCCTTCCAGGTCAATGGTTTCGAAGAGGCTAAAGACGGTGGGCACCCAGTCTTGATTAAATCCAAATCTGGAAAGACCATCAAGGCCAAATACGTCCTTACTTGTGGAGGCTTGCAGTCAGACAAGCTAGCAGAAATGTCTGGGTGTCCAAGATCACCCAGAATAGTACCCTTTAGAGGCGAATACCTCCTACTCTCCCCTGAAAAGGCCCCCATGGTTACTACTAACATCTATCCAGTCCCAGACCCTAGATTTCCCTTCTTAGGGGTGCATTTTACCCCCAGGATGGACGGTAGCATCTGGTTGGGTCCAAATGCTGTTTTGGCCTTTAAACGAGAAGGATACAAGTGAGTGGTAAACAAATACATCCCTATTTATCTGAACTACGTCATTTATAGATGGACTGATATTAATATAGGAGAACTTATGGACGCTTTGCTGTATCCTGGTTTTAGAAAAATGGCTTTTAAGTACGTTCGCGCAGGTTTGCACGAAATGGCAAAGTCTCTGTACACACCATTACAGGTCAAAGATCTACAAAAGTATATTCCATCCATTACAGCCAAGGACTGCCTTTCTGGGCCTTCGGGGGTCAGGGCTCAAGCATTAGACGATGAAGGTAAGGGGTACTCCCTGTAGATTCAATGAGAAAACCAATACCTTGAAAACGGCTAGAACAAAAACCATCAAGATCAGAGAAAATAGCGATAATATTGAATTTGGTACGCAATAGTGTTTTGGATAAAAAAAATATACAGAGCTGGAAAATCCACATGGTCCATCTGCCTTTACAAGAGAGCGACAAGGATGGCTATAGTGAAGACGTTTCATAATCTAAATAGTCACCGCCCGTTTCGGGTTAGAAGTGGGAGTGACTATTCAGATTATGAAACGTCTTCAATGTAACCATCCTTGTCTATCGCACGGATTTCTATGACTTACTTATCGCTCTCACGTAACGGCCGATGTACCATGGGGACTTTCCGAACCTGTATATCAAAATATTAGCCTAGAGGTACTTTAAAAAAGTGAGACTCATGATCAGCAAAGTTCTTAAAATATGAAGATGATTTCTTAATTAGTTTAAAAGATATTAAAGAAAAATCAAATTTGACAACCTTTTTAACAAACTCACATTATTTTTCATAGTTTTATTGGTTCTGGCAGTTACTAAGATAAAAAGTGACACACCTTGTGTGTAGCACTACAACACTTCAGTGAAGGAAAATATATAAAACTTGTTTCAGGCAATTTGCTGGAAGACTTCTATTTCGACATGAAGAAAGACCAGGGTGCTAGTTCCACGGCAGACAGGATTCTTCACTGTAGGAACGCACCAAGTCCTGGTGCGACGAGCTCGTTAGCTATAGGAAAAATGATAGCAGACAAAATCAGAGACGAATTTAAGTTAAGCTGAAGTGTCATTTTATTTGTATGTACAACTGCACCTAAATGCATTTATAACTCGTGCTAGATTCATCGCTTTCTTTCAGGATTGAATCACTGGGATGTTATTTATTTTTAGTAAACTTTGCAATGCCTGTAATAGCAAATATTTTGAAGAGTAGCTACGACACGGCTTCTGCCAGATAAAACACTAGTTTGCTCATGTTGAAACACTTTAATCCTGTACAAATATTATTCCTTAAGCAAAAATATTTGCCAACGAAAATATAATTTTTATCATATACGGTGATATAAACTGTGTTCGAATAAATTTAGGGTGATTAAAAAAGGGATTACAATTTTTTGATCATCATAATGAATAATACAACGAAGTCTTGACAATATTTTTGGGTAGCCTGAAATAAAATTGCGCAGCAATAAAACAAACCATGGGTACCCATAAACAAATCTTAGAAATATTAAACATTTTATAAATTAACTAAAATTCCAGTTTAAATCGAAATTGTAGTGGAAAACACTACTATAAGTGCTTTTTATTTCATAAAAGATATTTATATTCCAAGTTAAATATGTTATCATAATCATAGATTAGACAATAACTTAAACATTTTTCAACGCTCTGTGAAGAGTATTGTTATTTTTTTTTATAGATATCTATTTATTGTTACGCTTGTTATCTGTTGAAAAAGTTTATAACATTTATTGTCGCAAATATAACATCGTTCAAGATATTGGTTTTATTTTTATCGAGTCGACCTGTTTCTTTGTCGTGAGACAAATTATATTTAATAAATAGAAATAGGAATTATTTAAAAACGTGATTGTCTGAAGGTTTTCTATAAACGTAGTTTAAATATTGTAGGAATGTGCAGGGTCCAAACCACGGCTTATATAAACAAAATTATATAAAATAATTGTAAAACGCGCATCATTCTTAGTCTGCATAGACCTTTAGAGACCAGATGTGTGTAATAAACAGAGACGTATTTAAAAATTTTACAGTTTGCAAATCATGTTCGATAAAATTCAGAAAGAGTGAAATTGGTGAAATGATGATTTAAGTTTGGATCTTCTAAAAGTCTGTATGCAATTACTGATCAAAAATTGTCACTATTCCTTCATTCTGCAAATTGTAAACAGCATGTTCAATCCTGTTCTTCAGTTGTCCATCACTATTAATACTCACAGAGAACAATTTTTATTTTAAGACCTCCAAATAATTAATTGGATCGTCAAATTAAGTAGAAAGTTGCTGATAAAATCAATCCCCACGTTTATTTATACTAAATTCACGAAAATACTTTTCGATAACGGCATGGGGATTTCCATCTGCGTAAACATGCTGGTTGTGGAAATTTATTGTATCATATTTCGTAAAACACATTTCGGCTGGAAAAAAAATTTTCCTGCGAAAGTTCAGCTTTTTATTCGCAAATAATCTGCGATAATTGAAAACGAGCAGCAGGATCAAAAGATAGAAGTTGTTGAACCTGTATTAGTATGTGCTTAAAACTTACAAAAAACGATATAAAAGAATATTCCTAAATTTAAATAAAGTAAAAATTTAACATTAGCCGTGTTATTCCTAATGCGCATTCTCGGGAAGAATAGCCTCATACACAGGTGAGATCTTGTTGATATATCATCGCTGTCATTATTAGCGTATTTTCTCTTCTTTTGTTTAATCTTTGCATTTTCTAGTTCTGCCAAGTATTTTTATTATTTTTCTTGGTGCTGTACTCTGTCAATGTGTTTATCGAGTGTTTATTATACACGTACTCTTAACCATAACCAAATTTTCTTGAATGATATCCTGTTGCGAGGCTACTTGGCTTACATGAAATTATCTTATATCTTATAATGCGCATGTTCAGTAACATTGATATAATTTTAATTTATTAATTACTATAAAAGTCAATATTGTTCTATAAATTTAAATATATAAAGTCTATAATTCTTTTAGTTTATCCCTTGGGGTTTGAAACTTCTTGAATATGTTTTTCTAACATTGCTAGAATATCGCGATATTTGTAGGCGAGCGGTTCACCCCTAAATAGATGCTTCTAAATGAAGGTAACCGACAAAATTTTTAAAACAAAAACCTACAGCATGAAACTTTTTTTATTTTATAAAGTGTATTTTTCTGATAATTTACATATTTTTTTTTTATTTTTCGGTGTGGTCAGTCAATTATAAACAAAAAAGGTGTAAAAAAAAATTACTCGCCAAATGGCTTTGAATGATTTTTTTTTATTGTAAAATGGACCAAAATAAACACTTTTTGTTCTTTGACAAAAATTCGAAAAATGCTTTGTTTCCGATATATTTACAATTTAATGTGAAAAAAGTGACGAAAT